AAAAAAAAAAAAAAAAAAAAAAAAAGATTAAGTGCTCTCAGGCCAGATTCAGGAACTTTCTGCTATGCAAGCTAATTGGCATTTGGTGCAGAGAGAAAGACTAAGGAAAAGCTGCCCCTTCACAAGTGAAATAATTGGGAACAAAGCTTAAAAATATGGAAGCAGGCATATGAGCACAGGAGCTGGGTAGGGGTTGGACTGCCCAGGGGCGCGACCTCTCTCAGACATCTTTGGGAAGAAACAGAAGGAGGTACAAGCAACATTCGAAACTAGAAGTTTGTCTCTAAAGCACAGACTGGTGGGGGAAGTATTTTGGGGAGTCCCAGAGACTGGATTTGAGCCCTACAACTACTGTTTACTGGGCATGCGACCTTGGGTAAACCAAATAATAACTTCCTGAGTACCTGTTGCATTGTGGATGGTATTGAAAACATGACACGTACTTTGTCTCCTTCATAAGGATGTTGGGAGGGTCAAATGAGATCAACATTTGCTTTGTAAAGTGCACTGAGCTATTAACATTTCAGTGTAGATGAGAGTTATTATTTTCAATTCCAGGTATCTAACCTCCCATTTTCCTCTGCTTCATCCAATCCCAACTTAGAGGAAGGTTATTTGTCTGTCCCCTAGGAACTTCTATTCTCACATTCCTTCCTCTCATACATTTTTTTATTAGTCATTTACACTTTAGAGCAACTGAAGCTTGTCACCTGCTGAAGGAGCTTCTGGTGTCCAAGGCAAGCTAGAGAGGCATTGAGAGAAAGTGCCTTCCTGAGTGCTTGGAATCATACTCAGGTTTGCCTAATCTATTCCATGTAAGATTGGCCCTTTACTACAGCTACTGTATTTCATCAGCTTCAGGGCATATTATTTTATTTTGTTTTGTTTTTATATTTCAACATCTCTGAAATTGGGATGTATCTTAGAATTCTTGGTGTGTCATACTTTCATGATCAGTGATTTCTCCTTTTGAGTGGTTCACAAAATAATGGTGCATCTCACAATCAGGGATGTGATGTCGATGAAACATAACACTGTTCTTGTGGAGGTCACACGATCATAAGCAGGAATGGTTGAGGGGTTAAGAGGAAAAGTAAGGTAAGGCTGCAGTTTCCATTGGAATCAGATCAGGAAACAAAAGATGGACTGTTTCGTTTTCTTCCACCTTCCAGCTGCCAAGAATTACCTGGATATTGGGATTCTGCCCATTGATATCTGCTTTGGAAAGATCTGGAAAGTTTGGTAGATCAAGGAGAAAGGATCTGGGGCCATCTCTTTGCAATGAAGGGTGCCCAGTCTCTTGGAATCGCTGTCTGGGGAAGGGCTGGGGTGCAGCCTGGTGGTCTGGGTGCTCCCCTGGTGCTTCTTTGGAGAGAGAAAAGCTGGTTTCTGAAGTGGAGTCACTTTCCATGTTGAGGTTATTCTAAAACAAACAAACAAGTAAACAAACAAATGTTAAGGAGATCCATGATGAAAAAATGCCCCCCCTTAATGGTTCATTAAATTCGGGAGCAAGGACAATTTCAGTGGCTGGGATTAAGCCAGCATGATATTCCCAACTCATTTTGCTACCCCATGGTTTAGTTTCCCTATCTTCTAAAAGCCAGATCATCAGAAAACTTCCTTCAGCCTGCTACCTGGGAATTTTCTGAGGGTTAGTGAGTTATGGGCTATTTACTAAGCATTAAAGCACATCAAAACTAAAATGCTATTTTGAAGAAGAATAGGTGCTCATTTAAACCTGGAACACAATTATGTTTTCCTTCTCACAACTTCAATTGATTAATCGTGCTGGCTTTAATTACAGCTCTAGTGTCCAGAGTTGGCTTCTTTGGTGTTTGCCATGGAGCAAAAGATCTGACCAGGCTGGATAAAGTACTTCAGGCAAATTATTGATGATATCCATCTATCCATTTGTCTGTCCATATGTCCATCAATTCATCCATACATCCACCCATATATTCCTCTATCCCTTCATCCATCTATCCATCTGTTCATCCATCCATCAAACATCCATTCATCCATCTGTCCATACTTCTGTCCATCCATCCATCCATCCATCCATCTAATCAACAAATGCCATCCACACGCTAGGCACAAGAGATACAGCAATAAACAAGAAAGACATAGAAGCTATTATTTTGGAGTGTACATCGAGTTAGTGGGAATAAACTATAAATGCATAGATAAATCAGATCAGATCAAAGAGTGGTAACAGCTGAGAAGAAAAGAAGGACGATGACAGAGAGTGACTGAGGAAAATATTAGATGGGTGGCCAGGGAGAACCTTTCTGAGAAGGTAACATTGGAGGCAAGATCTGAACAAGAGAAGGAGGCACTCTGCTATGATCTGGCGGAAGGACATTCTAGCAAAGAGAAGAGCAAAGGGAACACCCAAGTCCTAGGGTGGGAATGAATTTGGCTACAGAATGGCCAGTGAAGCTGGTGTAGCTTGAAGGAGGGAAGAACCGCATGAGAAGAGGATGAAGAGAGTGGGATTGCCAAAGGAAATGTGACAACAAGGCATTGTGACATCTAATGCCTTTATTCTGAAAAGGGCAAGTCCATGGTTTTTTCCCAGCTAGTCAAAAATGTCTCTATTTAGTTGCCACTGGGGGAAATTATTCTAAGATTGAAGAGCGTACAAGTTGCTGGACTCATTGCCCAAACCATCCCTTCTTCCCCTCCTCTCCTGCTCCATGGACCTTTCATTGGAGGCTTCCTCCAGCCTTCAGGGATAGCATGTTCATGTTTACTGGTGGAGGGAGAAGGGGAGATAGAATTTCACCAGTGTTTGGGTCAGCGGTTAATGCTCTTGTTATTCTTGGACATGTTTTGGGGTTTGAGGGTGTATATTCCAGCACACTGTCTCCACACACACACCCCACCCCCTACCGCAATGCCCATGACCTAGCCAAAGGGTTACAGTTGGTATCAAAACACTCATGGCTCTGAGTACCCAAGGTCAGAAACTGCCCAGAGAAAAAACACCCACAGCAGATACATATCTTCTTAGAGAGCTAACCTGAGGGAATGGATTTTTATTATTATATTCCTCTTTCAACAGGAATGGGGCTGAGGAATAAACTCACCAGTGCACAGACCACCTCTGTGAATGTTCAAAGAGGCCAAGAGGAGGGCGGAGATAGAGACCACGTCTGCCTCCTCTTTACAACACGCAGTGGCAGAGGGGAAAGCTGGCTGTTCTGTGGCATGTTTTTGCTTGCCCTTCCTTTTGGCTCAGGAGATGTGGCTGGGGGCAGTGTCTTTGTTCACCTTTCCAGCCACTCTCTGCCATGGTTTTTGTCTCCTGGCACATCCTAGTAGAGGGAGTTGCCCTGACATTTCGAAGCGTTACTCAATGAAACAGAAGCCAAATGTACTGTTCTTTGGTTGAGTCCAGTGCACATAGGAGAGAGAGGGAGAGGGAAAGGGGGAGAGAGAGAGAGAGAAGGAGAGAGAGAGAGAGAAAGAGAGAGAGAGAGAGGGAAAGGGAAAGAGGGGGAGAGAGAGAGAGAGAGAGAAAGAGAGAGAGAGAGAGAGAGAACGAAAGAGAGAGAGAAGAGCATGCTAAGTCTTTCCTCAACATAAGACTTCTCTATGACACTCCAAAGGGGAGATAACTGAGTGCAGTTGTTCCCTTGCTTTTCTCCCTGGATCACTAACCCTAAAACTTTTCCAGCGGTGTTAGAGTGGACAGTTCGATGCTCATGGAAAATTTCTTGTACAGGACTTAGGGCTGTAAGTCCCCAAAGGGGCCCAGAATTTGCTTCCCAATTGCTTCAGGGAATCCCTGTAAATCAAGCCTAACTTCCCTGCAACAACTGAGACATACTGCTTAATTGGGTTAAAAATGGAGTTCTCTTTCCTTTCCCTGTGATAAAGTACTCTTTCTACTACTAGAACTTATATTTTAGAAGAAGAACTAGGAAACGTGTTTTTGCTGCTATTTAACTTTTTGCTCAGCTGTCTGAAAAAACAGGGACTGAATCTGATTGACTTCTCTATCTGACTCTTGAATTTTTCCTGGTGGGAAATTCACCACTGCACAGTGATTCTAGCTTGGCCTCAGACCAAGCAAACACTTCAGACTTTCTGTGGTTCAATGACCCTCCATGTTAAGCCAGGCAGATAATAAGGAGAGACCTGTACCCTCCCAGCAGGATGGTTGAGATAACTTGGGTTGGGTTGTTTCTACACATGAGAAGAGAACGTAGAGTTAGGATGATTGGCTGGGCAAGTCAGGCCACAAGTGCCTCTGCCGGGAATAGTCAGACTACTAGGGCTAAAGTATGTTTTGGCTTCAGTTATGCACACAGTTGTGGTATTTCCCCATCTCTCTCCAACCGCCCTGCCCCCCAGACAAAGGCTCAGTTTCGTAAAGTGTTTGGAAGATGGGAAGTAATAAAGAAATGCTAATCACAATCTCTGAATATCTATTACTCTTGCACCTCTTCCAAAACATATTTAACTAGAAACCTTGGCTCCCTGCAATGGCATGACCCGAAACTGTTCAGAAACTGGAAGGCCTAGGATGGTGGAAGTGTGTCGAAGAACAGGCCATATAAATGAAACTCTATTTTATTCAATCAGTAACAAAATTTGGGAGTAGCCATTATTTTGGTAATCTAGATTTTAAATCCAGGGCAGGAGATGACAGGATCTGCTAACAATGTAGCCAAAAGTCTTTTTTCATGTTTTCTCAAAAGGGACACATTGCATATCTTCCTTGCAGAGTCCCCTTGGAGGTCTTTGTTGAGGACATCCCTCCAGCCGTCACCCAGTTCACTCACTGAGTATTCCACTTAAATTATTCTAGCCGACTGAAGCTTCTCATGAGGGGTGGATCTTCAAGTGAAGATTTAAATGGTTTATTTTTTTACCCAGATAAGTGAATACTCTTCTCTGAAGACAATAGCTTAGGAAAGTTCAGGAATTTAAGAAAAGAAACACCATTCTTTCCAAGTTGCTGTAGGATTCATTTTGCCTGAATTAAAGTGACACACAGGGCCTGCTCAGTTTAGGAAAATATTTCTTTATCCACAATGTGCCTTTGAGTTGATCTTCAATCTGTGAGTTAACATTGACAATGCTGCAGCATCAGTAGCAATGTTCCCTCTGGTGACTGTAATTTTAGAGCTGTGACTACCAATGGAAAGGAAAACAGAAGAACTGAAGTTATTATACAGCTTACGCTCAGGTACAGTTCAATTGCTAAGGCAGGTGAACCGTCTTCGTCAAATTATCCAGCTACTGCTTTATGCTTCCCATCTTTGTGTGTAGCTCCTATTTCTCCATTATGTTAGAACCTATTCTTATCTAAAATAGAAATAGTAATAAAAACACCATGCTCTCGCAGCCCATGATTTTGCCCTAGATGACCGTCCCATGGCAGACATTGCGATTGCCTACCCAGTGTCCATACCCCTCTTTTCTTATGCAGTGTTTATTTCAGGTGGCAATGTGCCTGGCTAAAACTACACTTCCCAGCATCCATTGCAGCTGGGTGGGACCATGTGACACAGTCTGACCAATGAGAAGCCGGTGGAAGGTGCTGGACAGAACTGCTACAAAGGAGGCAGATTCAGTTTTGCTTTTTGCCTTTTTCTCTTCCACTTTTTCCTGCCGGAAATGAGCAGACAGGGTTTGAGGTGAAATGAGAAAGCTGGCAGATGTGCAGATGAAGGCTGTACGCTGAGCGTAGCTGACTGGAAGATGGTGGGCCCGGGTCCCTGTTAGCATTGTGGAGCGATCATGCCAGTCCTGGAATGGTAATAAGGCTAATGATGCTGTTATCACCAATATCAATGTTAACATTGACAATACTGCAGCACCAGTAGCGATGTTCCCTCTTATCAGTCTAATTTTAGAGCTGTGACAACAAAAAAGTGCAAAGCCCTGTTTAGCTAAACGATTCTATGCTGGGTTTTCTGTCCTTTGCAGTTGAACACAACCCCCAGTTGCAGAGGTACTGACAGGACAGTTGATGAGACATCGTGGTGAACTTCCCAGCGGCAGCCAGGACACAAATGCTGTGCTCTGCTGCTAACATGCCTGCCCAATATCCTCTTCCAAATCTGCCCTCTACCCCCTTTGCAGACATTAAAAGAATCTTTTCTTTATCTCAGCATCTACACATAGCATTTCTCAAA